ACTTGCTCTGTTTTGGGCACTCTTCTCGGTTGTAGCTCCTTCTTGTTCGCGTTTTTTTTTCCGTTCTTTTTTCCTTGTCACCGGGCGTGTTCGCTTTCTCTCCTCGTGAAGCTGTGGACTATTGTTTTGAACATTCGGTTTGCTTTTCGTAATATAGTTCATCACCTTCATAAAAAAAACAAGCTAGGTAAGAGTACTGATCAGCTTTTGTAGTGTAGCTTAGTGGTAATTGTAGTCTTCCATTACAGGAAACCTGATTTCTAGTCACGAGATCTTATTCACGGAAATCTTTCCCTTACTTAGAAGTATACTAATAGTCATGGGAAAAATTATCGTATTTATATAGTTTTAATCACAATAATTAATTTGCCTATTTTTTAGTCTTCATTTCCGGTTATTAATTGTTAGTCATAGTGAATTACCGCGAATAATGTGACAATTACCTTTTGGGGTCGTTTGAATGAGGAATTGTAATGAATCAATTTGACGAAACTGTCTTGTTTTGAGACAATTGTACCAAATTGACTTGTTTGCCAACAAAAAATTTGGATGAATCAATTTGCCTGAGGTATTTTAAATTAATCCGTTTTGAGTCAATTTCAATTGTTTGGGGTGAGGGCATGTAATTCGAATTCACTCGTTTATAAAATGAGACAATTGGTCAAATTGGCTCATTTTTAGATTGATCCATCCAAACCACAATTTAGCTGGAAATCAATAAGCATTAAGAACCTTTTTCTTGTAATGTTCTATGCTACAATAGCAACCAGGTTTGATGCTTGCCTGCAACTTCTTTTATCATGTAGACAACATATTCCGCCTAGAAATAATGTTTAGAGGATGGCTTATTGTCACCAAAGTCATGTTTATGGGGACGATATGTTGTCTTTCATGAAAAAGAAACAAAATGACACTCGTGAGTATTAGGAACGAGTAGGACTGTCGTCCCTCGTATTGGGGAAGGTCTATATTTTTATAGTCTCCAAAAGAATAGAGGACAAGCGTATAGGGATAATTTTGCCTATTTCTGGAGACTAATTTTGTCATCCCCAAAGTAGGGGTGGCTATACGGTCCGGTCCGGTTAAATTGGCTCGGATTGATCTGATCCTTGTCCCAGTCTTTTCGAGAATATGAGGATCGAAAATTGGATTAGATGCAGTCTAGTTTTGACCCGGTGCGGTCTTATCCCGGTTCCAATCTGGTCTTGATTTTAGATTGAGCTTAAGGAGGTTTGAGTGGGTTGAGGCCTAAAAGGGTGAGGAGTTTGTTAGGTTATGGGTGTTGGGCTCTCTTATCCTGTATTTACCCAGTTTCCGGTCTAGTCCTTGACGGTTATTTACCTCAAATCTAAATCCAAAGACGGGATTTGACTGTTTGTTATACGGTCCCCGTTCGGTCTCGATCCGGGTATACGATTTGATTTCGGGTAAAACCAGAAAACCCGGACCAAATAGTCATCCCAACCTCAAACCTCTTTTTTTTAGTGTGAGACTTTGCTGTGATGGTTTCCTAAATATAAGGGGAGCAATTGAGCAATTGGCTATTGTGATTTGTGACATTTAGTTATCTGATTCATTTATGATTAATTCAACTTTGTTTTTTTTTTAGTGAGGGCTGGGATAACTATGGCTCTAAATGGATAATGTGGTAGACATTTTTCGTATTAAACCGAGTCAACGGGAATTCCAATCCTTAATTATGAATATTACAAGAAATTTGAATGTCTAAATTCATAGTACAACCAATAGCTCAACGACGGGTTAGGGTAGAGGCAAGCTATAGCCTATATATTAATAAAGAATAATTAATTTTTGTTTAAAATAATGAGGTTTTTTATGGGCAGACGTCATTTATTTATGAACCCACTTCTATTGGTTTTTAGGGAATACAAATTCTATTTCAATATTCAGAATACAATGAAAAATAAAATACAACTCTTAGCACAATACCACATACATCACCTCGTAAGAGCCAACCTATTAAATTGGTCGTATTGTAAAATGGGTCCGTGAATGTCTGATCCCTTCAATGAATGAAATTTTACAATGTCGGGAAAATGTGCTGAAATAACAAATAAATTGAGGCAGTATCATTAGTTGTGAATTAAATTTTTTTGAATTTATTTCAACAGAGTTTTCAATCATGTGAAATTATGTGAAAACAGAACCCTAGCCGGGTTACTATGTATACCCCAAGATTATGTGAATTTCATAGTTCAAATTCTAACCATTAATTTGGGAAGAATTAAATATGATAGTCAACATTATTATAAGGGGGTAAGAGGGAAGTAAGGAATTTCGGCACAGTTGCAAATTTTTTAGGCGCTAGTGCGAATTTTCAGACACCATTTAAAACACTTCGTCATAGATTCAAATCAAAGATAGTGTGATTATATTACTCTTTTGCTTAGACTCCATTTCTTATGGAAAAATATCGAAGAACAATCCAAATTTGACCCTTCCTGCTCAATTTCTTAAAAATTTCAACGAATAACATTTTATTCGGATCATTGCTGTGGTGATACGTAGGTAGCAACTATGATAAAGTGAATTACTGAGTACTGTATCAAAAGTATAATAAAATGAATATCATTCGGTAAATTATAGTTAATGTGTGCTTACGAGTTAAAACAAATGAGATATTATACCATTAAGAAAAATAAAAAATATATGTTTTGACTCGTCATATCAAATTCCCCGTTAAATCTGCGTTAAAAAAAGATATAATAACAAAATTACCAGGCCGGTCCTCCTTATCATGATGGCCCAGATTAATTGGGGATGAGTAGCTAATTAAGAATGAGATTCTATAGAGTATGTAGAGTTTGGCTATGCACAAGACTTGCTCCTTGCAACTATATCTTGAATTTAATTATTAGTTTGTCAGATGCAAATTATTATTATATTTTTAGGTTATTTCAAAACCCAAAAGAAAGAAGGAAAAAAAAAAACACCCTAAAATGATGCGTAATATCCCTCCAAAAAAATCAGGAAAAGATACAAAGAAAGTAAAAATGACAATCACGGGTAGGTATAATAGCTGGTTAATTAGTATGAAAATGAAGAATTGAAGTATGGAAGAAATGTAAGCAACTTGATCGATTGATTGTATGATGAGGAAAAGTACCTCAGGATCTCACTTAGAATTATACACGAAACACAAGTATGTTTCGAAGAATTCATATAGTCAGATCCAGAGTACTTGTCCTTTTGGATAGCTTGTCGTCGTTGACTCCATTATCCCTGCCACTGCCACTGTCACTAACAAGCCTGGATGATGGCGAGCATAAAGACAGAGATAACTCACTTCCAATGTCTACTTCCGGCTGCCTCTCTTCCTCCGGCGCCTTGGCCTTGTTTGGTTCCCTCAGCTTCAGCGACAGCTCCAGATCAACCTCCTCATCGGCCTTCCTTTTCGCCGACTTCTTCCGCTGCCCTTGTTCTTCTTGCCGTCCCATTAATTCTGGGCCGTGGCCGCTATCTCTGGAATTGATGATAGTAGTGGCAGCAGTTGCATGGGTAATATCATTCCACAAGTTGCTGTTGTTGTTGGTGGTGGCTCTAGCTCTGGCTCCGGCTGCTGCTTGGGCAAATATCCGGTCAGCAATTGGTCCACACAGCCTTGACCTGGTTTCTTGTAGTAAGCGCCGACCCATAATCTCATGAGATCCATAAATGGAGTGGTCACGAGCCCCCCAGGATCCATCTGCCCCATACCTTTTTTTGGTTCCAGCAAAGAAATCACAAGGGGAAAAAAAAAAATGTTACTGCATACAATTATTAATTACAGGAACGGATTGGGACATTATTATGTCAATGCTAGCTAGCTAGCACAGCGTATTCGAGTACCTGAAGCCGGAGGAGGAGGCGGCATGGCGGCGGTGGTGGTTATTATATCCTTGAAGCATTGGGAGTTGGCTGAGGTTATAGATATTGTTGTGATCACTACTCTCCAGAAAGTGGCTGTGGCTGTGGCTGTGCTCACCACCCATAGCTGTGTAGATGGTTTTGGGGGCCAAAATTATATATCAGGAAAATGAAAGGGGTAAAAATGGAAAGACAACAATATATATAGCCCTAGGTAGATGTCGTTTTGCTTGCAAACCCATCAGTAATTAACACACTTTTTTTTTATGGCGTGTGTTCAGATTAGTGGAAGAGAAAGGGAAGAGAGAATTGGGATTAAGACTTAAGAGCCGCCTGACTTAGCCAAGCCTAAGCATGCGGCCGGTTTGACTAATTTAAGTTAAGTAGAAAGAAAGAAAGAGTACCTTGATGATGATTTGGGTCGTCCGTCTTCTTGCTTCTATACATCTGATCATCATCATAGTCAACACACACACAAAAAAAGGGATATTAAGCGCCGGCTTAAGGAGATGATCAAATTCAAATCAGAAGGAAGAAAGAAAGAAAGAAAGAAATAGGAAATTAAGGCGGGCGGAGATAGGGGTGTGGTTTGTTTGTTTAGACGAATGATATATACCTGGAGGTGGCTCTTGACATGAGCGATGCTAAGCCCATTAACGTTCATGAGTTGGAGAACCAGCTTGGGAGTAGCTCCTGTATATATATGCAGTAGTGAATCCAATATGTGCAAGTTAGAAAATATCCTCTTCTGTTCTGTTCCTCAAAAAAAAGAAGAAAAAAAAACAGAAATGACATACTGTCTTGGCCGCCGAGCCTGTCGATGGCTTTAACGAAACAGTGGTGGAGGTCCGGGGTCCATCGCAGCCTGGGCATCTTGGATCTGACGTAAGGCCTCACCGACGGCTTCAGAAGCTGCTGCTTCCCCTCCCCATCGCTCATCTCTTCCACCGTGCTGTTGCTGCTCGAGCTGCCCTGCAGCTGCTGCTGCTGCCCCTCGCCGCCGCCGCTTCCATCCTCGTCATCCTTGTTCTTCTCTTCTTCCTCGCTACTCTCGCAGCTCTCATCCACTTGGCTGCTGCCCCCACCCCTCTTCAGACTGAACTCTTGCATCTCTCTCTCTCTCTCAAAATTACCTCCACTGCCCTTCTCTGTTGGGTATAGGTGGGTTTGTTTGTTTTTGGCCTAATCTGGTCTCCTCTGGAAATTAGATCAAGGGCACATGATCGATGATGACACGACACAAGGTAGAAAACAAAATTAACTTTCTGATTAGGGGGCTCTATATAGTCCACAGAATTTTCTATCTTCTTCTCTGTCTAATTTGTTCTTAGTGATGGCAAAGATGACGGAGAGGAAGAGAAAAAGGGCAGCAGAGGAATTTGGGATTAGCACAAACATTTTCTGACCAAGTGATTTCTGGCCATTGATTACCTTATTTTCTTCCCACAAACTGCTGCTGCTGCTGTTTGTTTTTCCCTTATCCTTCTGGTACGTAGGTAGGACAAGAGAGGGAATTCTTGTTTTAGAGGCACACGACGAGAGATAGACCTTTGACGACACTAGTCCGTAGCACCACTACTACTGCTCCAGTCCGCGAGGCGGAGAGAGAGAGAGAGAGAGTTGCAAGTTAGGACAAAATATGAATTTGCAGTGGTGGGGTGGTTCTGCGTGCAAATTTGCCAAGCCCTAGCACAGCTATGGCTACGAAGCCCAGATCTTGACAAAGGAGAAGAAGGAGAAGAAGAAAGAGAAAAGATCAAAAGACAAGAGGGCGAGAGTGGGGAATAGGGAGTTGGACGAGTCTCACTTTTCAATCTCTTGGGTCATGTACTCCTCTGATCTTCAACATTATTATTCATAAGAAAATGTGTACATTATTATTATTATTATTATTATTATTATTATTATTATTATTATTATTATTATCCAAATTCGTATACTTTTTTTCCCCATAAATATCTTATATCATATTCTTCTTATTATATATACGCTACTGCCCATTTCAAATAATATAGTTTAGTATATTTTGTGCACCATATGGATGGTTTCCAATGCATGGATACACACATGGCCATCCATGTGAATATGTCCTCTGCTGCATGCCTATAATATTATTGGAATTCTTCTGCATAATTCAGATGTGTATGGGTTTCAAATTAGCTACAACCAATAATAACATTTTATTTTGGTAACTTTTTTTATGTTAAGCGGTTGATCACAATTAATGTGAATTTATTAAGGGAGTCAAAAATTAGAGGATATCCGCATATGATGGAGCGAGGTTTTAGGACGTGAGTCGCGAGAAAGCGAGGTTTTCTGTCAACTATAAACTAGAGCCAATGGAACGAAGGCAAGAAAATGCAATAGAATTGAAAGGAAATATGAGAGGGATCAATGAGGTTATCGCGAAGAAGCTGATCGCTGAGGTTATCGCGAAGGAGAAGAGGAATCGGTTTGGAAGGAAATATGAAAGGCGGTTGACCTGTAATTTAGCATCATGCAATTACCAAAAACATTAATAATTTATGTTAGCACGGTGGTAACACTTTATAGGGTACCCCATACCAAAGCTAATATTGTAAAAGAAAAGTTGACAAAACAATAATAACACTATATCGATCTATTGTAAATATAAAGGACTGTAAAACTGTATCAGAGGTTGTATTGAAAAATTAAGTTGTAGATTTTTTTATACTGAAATCGTGGTTAACCATAGTTCAACCACTCTATACCACTAAATACTAACTACCGATTTAGCTTCTGATAAAAGTATTTTTTCAATTCTAGGTAAATATACCTCTTTTATGTTTTTGTGAGTATAGTTGTTGGTGAATGCACTGCTGAGACAAAGCCAGCTCTTAGTTTGATTTACCACTGCTAGTTTCTTCCAACAGGTCTGCTGTGGGTACCCTCGACCGGGACTATATTATTATAATAATTAATAAAATGGTACTTCCTCGATATATATTAATGTTTCAGTTTTCCTTTGGTCGGAATTTTATTGAGACGACATTCTGGAATGTTGTAATTAATGCCAGCTGCCTTAGCTTGTGTGAATCGCGATTTTGATCAATTCAACAGATTGACTGTTGCCCTTCATCTCTCTTCCCTTTAAGCTTCCTAGGCCACTGATGACGAGCTGTCAATTTGTAATTACTCAAATGCGAAGAAACTGTAAGTTGAAAGGTTTTATTAATTCTCAGGATTTACAAAATCCTTCATTTTTAGTACTACAAATCTCATTTAATAGTTGTAATTTGTGAAGGAGATGTCTAATAGTCCCTATTATAAAAGGGGCGAGGGAAATAAAGGATTTAGAAGAGAACAGACTGGATTTTTTAGGCAGGTGGCCAGATTTTTTAGGCAGCGGGCAATTTTCAAGTGTGCTGTCAAAGTATTGTTCCAATTTTCTCTGAAAATTTAACAGATTATAACTCATTCGTTTTAAATCAGATTCCAAAAAAAATTTAGATAATATTGTATTTTTTATGTTCTACAAGAAGATATCCATTTTGATTCATTTTTTTAACAAAACATTCAGGTCATCACACCATAGTTCTACACTATATTACTACTGACAGCGATATAATATCATTGTGTTATGATCTGGTGTTGGTATGATAGTAATATGATGTTGCCATGGTGTCTTATGTTTGACAAAATAATTTGATAACATCATATCACTGTTATATAGTGATAATATCATGATATTATAATGATATTATGTGTAGTTAGTATTATCATAGTGGTAAGATCATGATATGATAATGATATTATGTGTAGTTAGTATTACCATAGTGTAAGATCATGATATGATATGTATGATAGTGATAATACTAATACTAGAACCAACACGTATTTTGATGAACTAATTTTTTCGTTGAAAACATAAAAAAAAATTAATATCATTGTGTAAATCTTAATTAATGCGTTATTTTTTAGAAAATGGAGCGAAAAAATGATATTATGTGTAGTTAGTATTACCATAGTGGTAAGATCATGATATGATAATAATATTATGTGTAGTTAGTATTACCATAGTGGTAAGATCATGATATGATATGTATGATAGCGATAATACTAATACTAGAACCAACACGTATTTTGATGAACTAATGTTTTTGTTGAAAACATAAAAAAATTAATCTCATTGTGTAAATCTTAATTAATGCGTTATTTTTGAGAAAAAATCTTTAAATTCCAAGTTAAAACCAATGAAACGTCTTCCCATATTATGAAAAATAGGAGATTATAAAAACCGTCTTTGATTGGTAAAAAAAACTTCACACTCTCCTCTGCCATGCGTGACATACTATCAGCCATATTATGAAAAATAGGAGATTATAAAAACTACCACCCCGCCCCACTTAACTCTCTTCCTTACCGATGTACATTTTTATGCCATCTGATGAGGTAATTATGGACTTTCAGAGATGGAGTTTTCTAAGATTTTGTAGTGTATGTGTTTTGTACCCTATCCGCTTCCCTTACTTATACGTACATAACTATAAAAGAACATTTCTTTGCATTTATGGGGTGTTTGGAAGTTCCGATTTTTTTAAAGAGATTTTTTCTATACATGAATTGTTTAGATTGCATCATTTTTTTAATTTTTTAGCTGAAACAATACATGAATTATTTCTGCAATGTGACAGAAACTATCATTCAAAATGAGTGATTGTTCCATCTCAACTTTTAGCTGTGATTGTTGAGTTGAAATTGTTTTGTCTTAGCTTTTAGCTAATGTGACGTACACAATCACACATACTAAACGTTGTATTTTACAATGCATCAAATTTGAATATATATATTATACATGCATTCACAACAATATATCAATTTAACAATTGCAACTTCCAAACGATCCTACATTTCGAACATGATAAAATTTTCTGTTGAGATTTCGTTGGCCGTTCATATCATACCATTTACATATCACAATATTAATGTTGATAGTGATATGGCAATGATAGTGATATGATATATAATGTTGATATGATAGTGGTATAATGTTTGTATGATGTTGATATGATAGTAATATATAAATTATGTTTGACAAACTAATTTGATATTATATCACAATATGACAGTTATATCTTATATGATGTTTGTATGAGATCTTATGTTTAACAAAACAGAATAAAATGTATATCATTGGGTAGATTAAAATAATACATTTTTACTATGCAACTTTTTTTATTTTAAAAATTAAAATGAAGGAGATTTGTCTTGAGGAATAGATAAACTCTTCCTTAGTATTCACCCGAGAACAGGATATATGCATGTTCACGTTGAAAATAATAGAATGGTAGGGATAGTTCCCTTCTCTAACTCCTACCTTGTGAAGCTATAGTAATTTTTTATTTTATTTCTAACCCCTTTTTCATTCTAACATGGAGCCAGTGCTAGCTAATAGTCTAAGTATTTAGGATGTTGGGTTCAAATAGAACGGTCATTTCTCCAAAATTCCAGTGAAGGGTACTATTTCTTCACAATAAAGTTTTTTATGAATAACATGGCAATAGATTAAAGAAACTCAAGTACTCAACGGTACTTCAGATATTTCATTTGATAAATTACTTACTTTTCCTTTTTTCCACTTATTTACTATAATTCTATGTTTACAATTAATATTGTAGTCGTTGACTCCTAAAAAGCCTAATAAAGTTCTGATTTTTTATTCACAGCGCATGGATGATCAATCTTATCTTAATTATATTCTGACTTATTTTAATGCAATTATCACCATTATAAATAAAATTACATTCTGACTTGCAAACTAGTTCGACATTACCCATTTTATCCAACCTGTTAGGCCTGTTTTGGGCGGGCATGGGTACTCTCATAGATCCGACATGCCCTAACCCGGTTCATTCTCGATCCGTTCTTGTCTAAATTACATGTAGTCTTAGTCCAATTATTTAGCATTTTCCTTCTATTACATCATATTTTAGTTATAATAAAGTTACAATTAGTGATAACTTCAATTTCTCCAATAATTTAACTATATTTTTCATATTATAGTTTGTTTTTTGGTATTATAATGAAAATAATAAATATTTCTAATGTTTTGCATATAAATTACATATCCATTGGTTCAAGCTGTCTCGATCCGTGCCCCATGATAAATTACTCGACATGTATCCGACTTGCTACGGAACGAATATGAGTATCTAGATACCCGCTCCGGACCTCTCCGTTGATGTTCCTACATGCAACTGACTAGACAACCCTAGCTAAATTATTGGAAAATGATAGGTTGAGAGATGAAAAATCAAAGAATAAATAGAAAGAAACAAGTCAAATTTATTCTGACTTGCAACCACAACAATTGAAGTATGGGGCCAGGCCTACAATTAATAAACAACAAGGCATGCATTATTGGTAGATCGAAGAATCCGCAAAGTTTGACAAAAACCAGACTCGACAATCTGACTTGAAAAACGAAAAATGTCTCATTACTTCATACTTCAAAGAGTATATTGAATAACGTTTTTCCTTTTTATTTATGAGATAATTAATATATGTTAATATTTTTAACCTAATAAGAGTAACTAAGTTACTAGAACGACTTCGCAGCTGGTAAATTCGTTTCAAATGTTACAATAATGATAAAGTAGCCGATAGCTAATTAACCACTAATTGATATAAAATGCTACACAATTTCATATTTCAATTCAATTATCCACTAATATAAGTAATTAATCTACATTTTTACTCAAATTGAAACTTTGT